CGACCGGCCGCGTCCGGTCATGTTCGACCGGACTCACCCAGCGTCCGGTTACTCAATGTCTCCTATGTGTGTCCCACGTCAACGTACGTCAGCACTGACCGGATGCACCCTGCCAGCGTCCGGTCACTTTTAGCGCCAGCGTCCGGTCGAAGACCGAGACCACGCGCTCACTGCTGCTATTGATCGGACATGTCGGTCCAACTGAGACCAGCGTCCGGTCACTTACAGTGACCTTCGTCTTTTCTGTCTAGGGTGCCGGTGGCACCGTCGGACTATCCGCACTCTACGGGTGGACACTCCGCCGGTGAAGTTTTCTGCCCTCGCTCAAATGTGCTAACCACCAAGTGTATCACCTTGTGTACATGTGTTAGCTTATTTTCACAAATATTTTCAAGGGTGTTAGCACTCCACTAGATCCTAAATGCATATGCAATGAGTTAGAGCATCTAGTGACACTTTGATAACCGCATTTCAATACGAGTTTCACCCCTCTTAATAGTACGACTATCTAACCTAAATGTGATCACACTCGCTAAGTGTCTTAATCACCGAAACAAAATAGCTCATACTATTTATACCTTTGCCTTGAGCCTTTTGTTTTTCTCTTTCTTCTTTTCTAAGTTCAAGCATTTGATCATCACCATGCCATCACCATCGTCATGATCTTCGCCATTGTTTCATCACTGGGAGTAGTGCTACCTATCTCATAATCACTTTGATAAACTAGGTTAGCACTTAGGGTTTTATCAATTAACCAAAACCAAACTAGAGCTTTCACGCATGCTACCCCTACCTGTTGGCCTCGAGGAACGCCCGCCGCCTCCTAGCCGCTCCGCGGGTCTCAGTCACCGCACGCTAGGGTTCGCGGGCAAAGCTCGCGATTCAGATGAGGATGCTTGCGATTCAAATGGGGAGGGTTGGGGAAAACATCACGTGAGAATAACTCTATTGGTGGACCCATGTTGTCAATCTCTAAGGGGGTATATTGGGCATCAAAATTTTAGGGACCTCACCGTCCTTGTGTGGGTGCAGATTTGTCAGTGACACAAATATAACTGAGATCAGACGGATTGGTAGTAAGGGAAACGGAAATTTCATTTGATGGCAGTGAAGGGAAACTTAAAAATTTCGATGGCTTTGAGGGAAGTCTAGGAATTTTCAATGGCATTGAGGGAATTAACTCTTCCGAATTTCTCCTTATCCGCAAAAAATTATGATTTTCTAAGATATATTAATCATATCAAATCATATTTTTGTGGAATTAAATGAAAATAATTTTTATATAAAAATTATAGATCTCAATGAGATCTACAACTTTCTAGTTTTGAGTTTTTTCATTTGAAGTCGTTAAGATACTTAAAAAAAAATAATGACATATTTAGATATAAGGGTATTTTCACTTTTCATATCTATAGTTTAACGGCGTTAGAGACCAAACCGACAGCAGTGGCATAGAGGGCACAAAAAAAATTAGAAGCAGTGATGCTGAAAACCACTAAACTTTTCCAGAGACACACGAAGCATTGCGATCTTTTTTAATGGCATTCCCCCTTCGCCGTCTTGCCGACATGGCGTCATCTTTGCTGTAGCCACGTCGTCTACCTGGGGTAACAGCAACAGCATGCATGCTCTATTGCTATTTGCTCTTAAGCTTAGAACCCACATGTCAGTGATAAAAAAAAGAGAGAGAGAAGCGGACCTGTTTTTGCCGGATCTGACGTTGCTGATGCTGAAGCAGTCGATGTTAATCATGATGCACGGACGGTGCAGCTCTTCACTCACCACTCACCACTCACCAGTGTAGCAATCACACCGCCCCATGCTCTGCGAATTACTACCAGTCCCCGTCCCAAAAATCTTGCACTTGTAAAATGTACTCATGTGGATCTACAGAGACATGTAGATTTACAACTACAGCAAAAACTTTAAACTAAAGTATGCCATATTATATATCAACTGTATATGTGGAGTCTAACAAAACTGGACTTTGCTTTTTATGATTTTTCTACGATTTTATACCATTTTCAAAGTTTCAACCAGTTTATGAAATAAAAAAAAGAGCACGTGGCGTCACGTCATTTGCCACGTAGCTGGCAGAGCCTTATCTGGTCTGCTTTGGATGGCGGCTTAGGACATTGACAAAGTGTATGGAGTCTACGTTCGGCTCATACATAAGCCGATTGATAAGTCGGCTGAAGCTAGTTTGTTGTGAGAGAAAAATATTGTAGATTCTAGCTGATAAGCCGATTGATAAGTTCAAGCGTACATAGCCCTAGACGAGTAAAAAAAAAAGAAAAATCATAGACCTAGTGAGAAGTAGGAAAAAAGTTTAGGACCCACGACACAATTTGCCAATTCACTCGACTAAAGTTTAAGGAATATTTTACCATTTCACAACACCTTTAATCTGGTTGTAAAACACCTGTTTTTTTTTCCTCTTATAACATGCTCATAAAATTCAGATGTACGAGGGAAGTTTTTCAACTGGATATGATATAGCAAAACTGATTTTGTTTTATCTGGAGGATACTTTGACCAGCATTACTTTTTAACAAGATGTCGTTTTATGACACGAACTTTTATTCCTATATAAGTTCTTTCAAATCTGAATCTAATATTGTAACACAAATTTTTTATATCACAAAAGTATTTGTTAATAGAGTGATTGTTGGTCAAAAGCTTGATAATATGACCATCTCCAACGACGGCACCCAAAATACAAAACATATTTCCACGTTTGGATAGCGCTATGCAAATGGTTCAATATTTTTTTTTTTAGTTTTTTCAACAATAAGATTCAAAAGAGAACCCCTTCTGCAAATGGGTTTCTAGGAAAGAGGATACTCAGATTTATGTTGTGTCTCTTCTGACATCAAAATAAGTCTTTTATATAGGTACTCTGTTGGAGACCGATACAATACTATTGAAGACTCATTTTTCATTTTGAGTTCGGATGCCCTCACGGGTGACCTACTGGGGACAGTCAAACGAAACAAAATGAGTTGTGCATTCTTGATAGAGGGAGTATACTATGGTTGATACCGAACAATAAACTGCTAAAAGTACAGTGAAGCGAAATGAACCATACCATATATATATTAGAATGAAATGTCAGGCAAGTTGAGATATGCATGTCAGCATGTGAGCAATGATTTGACCACTTTTTTTTATACATCCTATTCGCTTGGGTTATAAGCGTACTTTTTTCAATCAACGAACAATATTTTTCTCTCACAACAAATCAGCCAACAGTACTTTCACCATGACTTATCAACCAAACGAACAGGGAAATAATTGATCACTCCAAAGTCCAAACGGCATGTAAGCCAGCAACATGTGATGCATTGTGTTTTGTTTTTCTTTTTCTAAAAGAAAGTTATTTTTAATTTTGTGAGGATGTGTCATGGACTCATGGTTCTGCCTTGATTCACACATCAAATCGGTCTGTTGGATGGCTTGCAGCATATTTGTAGTAGCAAACCAACCGTATTCATATCGTCAGTTTGTATAATAGCATTTATACTAATCCTCCATGCATGATATTGCATCAAATGATTTGGATTAGCTTCAATCTTATTTATTTTGGCTTCAGGACTAGGAGAGTAGGGACCTTTCAAACAACAAATAATAAAAGTACATGCAAACCAAACTTGTGGAATGGAGTGAGCACGAGATAGTTTTTAAAATGTACTTCAGTTTATATAAAGAATCAAAATTTTCATGTTCTGAATCCAAATATTTTTTTGTTATCTACTACTTCAAACATGGAATTTAAATTCAAAATTTTAATTACTGAAACTTTCAATATTCAAAACCATGAAAGTACTCCCGTAAAAAAAATGGTAATTCGGTTCAGCATTGTAGGTCAGATGTAATTTTCTTGCACTAATAGCACACGTCACATGACAGTAAATTGGTGTAAGTCACATTAAAAACTGAGGTCTACTTGGATCTCACGGACTAAAGTTTAATCAGCTAAATTTAAAGATTTATTTGTGTGGTCTAATAAGCTAATAATCTTTTCGCGAGGTTGATTAAACTTCAAACAACACTTTAAATTGTACATTTGAAGCTTTAAGAGCTAAAATGATTTAAATTTTAGAGGTTAAACTTTAGATAATAGAATCTAAACATAACCTAAAAAGGATTAGTGGAAGCCACGCTTCCAAAAATTGGTACCTTTTAACCCTGCAACCATCACCCTGCCTCTGCTGATGTGCCTTTAACCCCACCGCACCGCCACCGCCCGCTGTTGCGGCCGCGCCGTATAAAAGCCGCCGAGCAAAACTCCGTCGGCCACACCGTGAGCCTACGCCGCACTGCGCAAACCAACAACCAAATCAAATCCGGAGCCAGTAGGGAGTGGTAGGCTGAGCCGCGAGGAGCCCGCGGCTCGCGACAGAGCAGAGGCGGCGGCGTCCACGGAGCAGGAGATCTCGCCGCGACGTCGTCCAGTCGCCGCTGGCGTCGCCGGTTCCCGCCAGAAGCGGAGGAGAAGCTTCGTCGCCGCTGCCGCGGTATCCGGTGATCCTCGCCGCTCGCCAATGCAGGTGGACACCGCCGCGGTAAGGCCCCTTGCCTCTGTCGGCGCCCGGTTCCGGTTGGTGGGAGCAGCGTGCTGTGTGCAGAGCTGCTGCGAAATCAGTAGCACCACTGTTTTGGATAACCGATGCATTAGATTCTCGCCGAGTAGTTCATCGATTCCCGTGGTTCAATAACTTTCCTGTGTAACATCACCCCCTCCTTTCTAAGAAAAGGCAAATGTTGTGGGTTTGATTGGACGCCACGTGATAGCTCGTGCGCTTTCATCAAAGCAGCTTGCAGCTTGGCTTATTAGGTGTCTGTGTGCTTTCTTTTGTAGAGCTGGCTTAGGATGTCGCGGTGTTTGAACCTCAGTTGGGCTTGGGCAGGAGAAATGTGACTGGTTCCGGTATATAAAGATTGACGTACCTGTTGCGAGTTGCTGCTGCTTGTGATTGTTTTGTCACGTGTTGAGGCTCATGGAGTCACGGATGGATCAATACGAAATCATGGAGCAGATTGGCCGCGGGGCCTTCGGTGCCGCCATCCTAGTCAATCACAAGATTGAAAAGAAGAAGTAAGATACATCGCTCTTCCATCAGTATGTAGGCTATATATGGCTTTGTCTACCATTCGGGTGACTGTATGATTGCCTTGCAGGTATGTGTTGAAGAAAATCCGGCTTGCGAGGCAGACGGAGCGCTGTCGGAAGTCTGCCCATCAAGAGGTTGGTGAAATGTGATGCTTTGTTTCTGATTCATTGGTTGTGCCTTGAAGAGTTAGTAAGAGAAAAGATGAATTGCAGATGGCTCTGATTGCCCGGCTGCAGCACCCTTACATTGTTGAATTCAAGGAGGCTTGGGTTGAGAAGGTTTTGTAGTTCAGGAACTTGTTCTTACCTGGTTTCTTCTGTCTGAACTTATTTAGTTGACAAGGTGAGTTATGCAGGGTTGTTATGTCTGCATTGTCACGGGCTATTGTGAAGGTGGAGACATGTGAGTGTGATTTAGTGCTTTGGTATTGGAGGTCATCCTTTAAGTTGCAACATAACCACATTGTGTTATATCTCACATTGGTCTTATTTTTCAGGGATGAGCTGATGAAGAAATCAAATGGTACATACTTTTCTGAGGAGGTATGAGAAGACTTGTCTATTTTGTTTATCTGATTGAAGGAAGGAAATCATCCACATTGCACTCATAACATCGAATAATCCTCAGGTATTGCTTAAATGGTTCGCTCAATTGGTGTTGGCTGTAGATTACTTGCACTCGAACTATGTCTTGCACCGTGACCTGAAGGTAAGTGAAACACAGTAGATGATCATCATTGTCAAATTTTTATGCAATAAATGGTCATGACTCCTCAAACTTGCAGTGCTCCAACATATTTCTCACCAAAGATCAGGACATACGCCTTGGTTAGTTTCTCACAACAAATACAGTAATGACATGTTACATTTGTTTCTTGTTATGCTTCATCATATCAAGTTATCTTATTATCTGGTCTTCATGCAGGAGACTTTGGCCTAGCAAAGACTTTGAAGGAAGATGATTTAGCTTCATCGGTATGGTGTTCCAGCATGTTTCCTTTCTTTCCTCTTTGTTCTGTCTAAAAACCTTGTGTCATCCTAAAGCTTCCTGTTTATAGAAAAAAAAATCCTGAATTTGTTAATCACTCATACAATACATCAGGTAAAACGCTAAATACTCATCAACCGTGAATTTATCCCTCATCTTGTTTATTTTTGGATTAACATTTCATTTTACAACTGATTGGGAACCTCATTTCTTTACTGCCACTGGATGGGTTTTGGGACTTTTGACCCAAATTCCAGTTAGAGTCTATTCGAAGATAGGAATTAAAATTCAGATCCAGGGGCCCCTGGATCATGCCCGTGCGTTGCAATGGGAACAAATTAATGTCCGACTACTTTAGTACGGGCTAATATCATGTTTCAAGGGTGATAATTTATGTGATGCTATTAAAAAAACCATCTTAACCATTCATGGTTATCATATCATGATTCCAATGTGCACAAATCGCAGCCTTGTCCAATTATTCACACGTGATCTAAATATTTTCAAGGATAGTAAAAAAAAGTATTGTTTCATTGGCATTTTGTTTGAAACATGTATTATTGACCAAAACGACCACTTCTTTAGTTCACCACATATTGTTTTTGATCCAGTTGATCGTCTTTCGAGTTCAACAAAAGGGTCATGACATCAAGCCTTAAAAGGCACATGAATTAAGTCAAGAACTGAGCAATTTAAGTATTTAACTCAAAAATACATTCCATAACCAAATCTTATGATATTACTTCATCCTTCACCTTATATTATTGTCTGTGTGGAGCATGCCTGAAAATAAGACCATTCATGATTACATTCTTCTAATTAATTTGTTTCTCGGCCAAAGCCAAAACCTAAATTTCAAACCAATATCATTCTATGACTAATTTATTGAAATTTCAGAGCCATATGAGCATTTCCTTATTGTCCCTCCTTCCTTCTCTCTTCCCTTGTCCATGCCCTTGCAAAGGCTACCTGAACAACAGCCATGAAGGAATGACGAGGTAGGACACACCAGCAACAACTCTCATCTTGTGTGATTTGTTAGAGACCTGTGGAGGCAACAACAGACTCAGGTACATACCCACCCCCAACAGCGCAGCCTCCAAAGAGTAACAGTAATGGATTTGTTAACTACAACCAACAACATGTCAAGCAAAAACATGCGAGATATCAGTATACTGCCTGAAGGTTGTAATATATTTCTCAAAAATATTGATTGTAATTATATTATAATGCTGGAATTAGTGTCAACGATAGACCATTCACAAAATATCTCACAGCAGAGCATACACTAATATGAATCAGGGGAATTCTTAGTATGATAAACAAAAGTAGCAGCAGCTTATATAGCTATCTGTTTACATCAATTGATTGGCAAATTCAAATACCAAGTGGAAATTTTGTATAGGTTTAATTTAAGGTGTCAATGCATGTCTATAGGCAAACATTATGCAACATGGAAAAAACTATAGCCACACCAATTCATCTAAAGCTGAAGCATGCAACATGGTAAAAGACCATTCCCTGAAACAAAGTGGTAGTACTGCTGAGTTCTCCAATAGATATGCCAGAGAACTACCTTGGAAATTAACTGGTGAATCAAGTTTCAGCAGACAACAGAAACATTTCACTTACAGCTTACCTGCGATGAATTGTTGATTTTTGATTTTTTTTTGCTCAAGGTCGCAAGAACAGACCATCAAATATTTTATTGTTTAATTGACGACCCATCTAGTTTCTTAACAGAGGACTGAAACTGAAAGGTTGCAGGTTCAACCAGGAAAATTATTCTACAACTAAAAAGCAGCAAATTCATAGAATAAAAAAAAAAACTGAAATACTGAAACACTGAATGAAAGAATGAACTATATGCAAGACCAAAAGAAACGATTACTAAATTAAAGAACAGTTGGTAGACAGGGAGCACTGGACTGAATGGTTACAGGTTCTCATGTGTGTGTATTATGAATAAAAAAACTCTCAAAGATCAGTAATATGTCTACTTGCCCATATCCCCACAGTAGAAACAACTAAAGTTATTTATGGCACTATCAAAGACTGAGGACATACTAAAAATGAATGGAAGCACATACATGAGAAACATACAGGAATTGTAGGGAACAAGACCTTCAAATTATGCTGCCTTCTGGGCTTCTGGCATACCACTCAAACGGTCAGACCATTGTTGCATTCCATTGCAAAAGCTTTCTTTTGCTTTCCCTGAGACCATTGTAGATACACAATACTATTAACAAATAACTAAATGATTTTAAAATATTTGTTGTGCTCAATCATAGAAACCAAACCCTCCCTTCTCTTGCTGCACATTTACTCTCCTAATGTATGTGGAACTGTGCTGGTTGTCACAGATCGAAATGACCTTCCTAGACAGAGCCACAAACAAAAAGGGATGATTAAATAAGCTTCAAGAGGGGAGAGGGTCAGCTCTAATTAGATACTTGTAGGCTTGCAGCTGCCTTGATTGCTCAATGGCATGCAATTCAGAAAAGGTAGAACGTCATCGCCCTTCATCAGCACTACATTCACAGAGTCAGGCCTATTTTCATGTCCAAAATGGCCACCCTAAGTAAATTTCACTTGCAATGGCCACTGGGCACTTTCACCCAAGCCAGAAAACCACCTCTTTATATCTCACATCATCACCTACCCTGATCATATCCTTGACAAAAGCCCATGAATGGGAAGAATGCACGTGCATTTAGAGTTTCAAAGATACTGTCAACAACTGTTGAGGCAACAAGGTCAGCTGTACTCGGCTGAAGTCCCCGGTGGATGGTGCTCTGCAGGCTCCTAAGCCTACAATAACACCAAGGACTTATTAGTGACAAGAACAGATACTGAAATTCCGTACTCCTAAATTTAGGGGACTTGATTTCAGCTTAGCTAAGTAAACAGAACCCACAGACACGCAAGAGACGAGTTCCACGAGCACAGACATGAATCCCTACGCCATCACTGCCTTGCAGCGGCCAGCGTCGGCCATCAAGTCCCACAGGTGTGCCTTCTGAAAACTGACGATTGACCTGCATCTGCACAAGTGAAAGCAGAAACAAACAGTGAGATAATCACAGTATAGGACTCTACAATGCAATCAACATAGTGATGCGGCCACGGGGTCACGCACCTGCAAGGCCTTCCTTTGGTCCATGTTGCAGATCAGCGCCACCAATGCCATGGATTCCGCTACAAGTTGGCAAAAACGAAGAGGTGAAAAACCAAATTAACATTAACAGAACCAGTGGAATCACTAATCACAAACAATTCCTTTATGTAAGGGCGCGTGAGTCTAGAGGCATCCTATAGCGACAACGAAAGGTATTCATGGACAGTCCCTCCAATCACGTCGCTCTGCTGTTTGGCTACCATCACCGGCGTTCAGCCTTGGATCACGTGAGCCTGCGCCTTGCCTCGGGCACGGCCTTGCCCAAGCACAATTTGATATACTTAACAAGGACCTGTGCACATGTTCAATTTCAAATAAATTGCAACCAGCAGCACATGTGCACATGAACCAATAGAGAGGAAAATCTAGAAAACTTGAATCAGGGCGTGAATGTTCTTTGCCTTACTGATTTGCACAAACTAACGGAAAAAAAAATGCAGGGAAGGGGATGACTCACTTGGGAATTATCATCGCCTAACGGCTTCATGAGATGTTGCTTGAAGGTTTCCAAATACATAGTCAGTTAAAGAAATATATATAAAAAAAGAAACAACTAATGTGAACCAAACATCTTGTTAGATCACAAGAAGCAGACACCTAGGCGAGGTCCCTGGCCAGCTTCCAGTATATATGCGCGAGCGAGTCCTGCTCCTTGACCATCTTGGCCTTCATCTACACCAGAATAGCAGTGAAATCAATTGGCTCATCAGTCAAGCAAGGCACCGCCAAAACCAAAAAATTCAGAGCAGCAAGCAGCCAGGTGAGGCGAGGTGGTGAACTCTCACGTTGTCGTCGAGTTTGATGCAGAATCGCGTGTCGACGTCATGGAGAGCCAGCTCGAGTTTGGCGGGCCTGTCGTCGAGTTCGATGGCAAGGCAATTCCTGTTCGCCAGCCTCTGTCGTAGTCGCGCGGCCTCGAGCTCGAGGTGCGAGGCTCGATCCGCCACGGCCATGGCCATAATCTTGTGTGCCACCTCCAGTTGCTCATACGGGTCCTAGGTCCGGCAGCAGCACGGCCGCAATGGCGTAGAGCGGCGCTGAGGAGGCGATGCACGGGGAGGTGGCGGCGCGGAGGGGGCAATGTGACTCGATCCACCCCGCCCCAACCGGGCTCGGGACGCCATCACGCCGAACAGATGGGTGGGGGTGGGTGGCGGGGGACGACACCGGCACCCTCGACCGTCAGCGCATTGAGGCCGCAGCGCTCGCGCTCGCCCCCACGTCCAGGCTTCGGAGGGGATCCGGAGGCCTAGCAGCTCTAATTTGAGACCATGGGTTGGGTTGGTGGTCGATGGCGGCGCTAGGTAATGGCGACGGCGGCATTGGCGCGGGAGATGGCGGTGGTGGTTGTCGCCATCGGGGGAGAAGCGGATATCCTCCTCTGGGCAGCACAAGGTGATAGAGGCATCCATCCGAGGATGGCGTCGTCGATCGTGGCCGGGTCGCGCACGCGCACCGTTTAAAATTTCACAGCCGCCGTGTGAAACGTACGTGGGGGGTGAAGCGAAGGCACCGGGTGAAACATATCTGGGGGTGAATCGAAAGGTAGCCGGGCAGACGATATCGCTTCATAATTCTTTGTTGTAGATTTACCATGAACCATGTAGATATGCTAGTCCATCTCATGGAATGTATGAAGGTGTAGTTCTTGTTTTGTATTTGTGCAATAACTGGTGGCACCATGCTTTTTTTAGGTTGTCGGGACACCAAATTACATGTGCCCAGAGCTGCTAGCCGATATTCCATATGGTTTCAAGTCAGACATCTGGTCTCTCGGTATTATGTATTACCTGGCTCAGTTCTTTCTGTAATGTAAGATGTTTACGTAACTGATGATTTATTATAAATTTCTAACTTAACATGTTTTCATTTGCATAGGATGTTGTATGTATGAGATGGCAGCTCATCGACCTGCCTTCAAGGCATTTGTGAGTTTTTGTCTGATCTTATTTCTTATCACTGTCCCAAAATGTAGTTCTTTTTAGTTGTCTTAAGTCAAATTTCTCTAACTTAGACTAAGTTTGTAGAATTAACATCTACAATACCAAATAAATCCACTATCAAGACATATTTCATGGTGAATTTGATGAAATTAATTTGATCTTGTACATGTTTTTGCATTTTTAATTTTGGAATAGAGAGAGTACTTCAAAATGGTTACCCAGATGTAGAATCCTCTGGTTGATGCCTTTTATGTTACATTACATAAAATAAAGGGAACATGGGTATTCATTGGCGCTCTTTTAGTGATCCTAGTGTATGTAATTACTGCTTAAAATTTCTGATGGTCTTACCTGATTTTCATTGCCTGCAGGATATGGCTGGATTAATAAGTAAGATAAATCGGTCTTCCATGGGTCCTTTGCCTGCCTGTTACTCAGTGTCTATGTAAGTGTACTTCTCTACACGAAGTAGATCTTGTGGAAGTTGGAACAGTTGTTCTTTGCATGTTTAAAAGTGATCCTGGTAACCATTTCTATCACATGGTATGCACTCTCTATATAAGCAGTGCTTATTCTTGTTCCCGAGAACCAAGTAATGTTAATAGCAAACTGCTAAATGTTTCCTTTTTTTATACACAATATTGTTAGAACAGTTTCATATAGAATGTACAGCTCAAAAGATCGTTTTTTACTGTTGGGTACAGGAAAACCCTAATCAAAAGTATGTTGAGGAAGAGTCCAGAGCATCGACCTACTGTAAGATATTATGAACCTTGAACCTTCATGCAGCAGTTCTTTTCATCTGGATTTTGAACGTTTATGTTAAATCATTTGAACAGGCATCTGAGATCCTGAAGAACCCGTACTTGCAACCTTATGTTAATCAATACCGCCCCCTTTATGATTCTTCAAACCCCATGCGGATGCCAGAGAAACCATTGCCCACTTCACGGAGCAGTCAGAGAAGCATGTCTGACAGCCAAAGCAGTAGCATTTCCAGTAGTGACATTGACAGTGCCCAATCAAGTGACAGAAGCACATCAGGCGGGACTACAAGTACTGACAGAAAGACCATTGATACTGCAAGCATTCGAGATGTAGATCAAGGTAAGTCAGATGAAAATGGTGCAACACCTGAAGATCTTAGAGGCAACAAAGACAATTCTAGTGTTCAGTTTAAAAGGCAAGATTCATTGAAATTCATACATGTTGATCACCATCCCAGACCAGAGAGCAAACAACCAAAGATCATTGAGAAGATAATGACAACCCTTAGAGAGGAGAGCAGGCTGAGAGAAATCAACTCTCCTGTCAGAGGTGATGTAAAGCTCAGTTCTGGCCTCAGCAACAATAATCAAGTAGAGCAACCATTACAGGTTTCAAGGACAAACAGTGACATGCCATGCAGCTTAAAGTCTGGCGACATTCTATCCCATGACGAACATGTAAATGAAGTTGAAGCATCACCACCCTTGAAGCAACTGGTATGAGTTAACTTGTTTGTTTTCATGAAATCCAATTTTTTTTCCATATATTGCTTACTTATGTCTTCTGGTATCGGTCTTGCAGTCACCTATTGTTGAACATAGTGCAAAGATGAAAACCGCTGGGCCATCAACTCCTGAACCTGCCAAACAAATCACAGAAAATGGGGCTACAGCTTCAGGAAAAACTAAGGACAAGACATCACCTGCTGCTAGACGTCCTAGCCCTCAGAGGCAAGCTGGAGCAGGGACTCCAAGCTTTCCAGTCACAATGACAAGACGTGCTCATACCAAGTTCATAAGAGAGAGAGAGAAAACTCCAGAGCGACCATCCTGTAGCCCAGATATGAAACTGGATGCTCTTAGTGATCCTCCACGAAGCTTAATGATTTCTTCAAATCCTTCAGAAGGACAGCATATGAAACTGGATGCTTCACAAGCAAATTCAACAAATCTTTGGGAGCTTTTCACCGTTTCAGCAAAGGAACACAGCAGCACTTGCTCAAGTTCTACAGTTGGTTGTACTGAAAATATGGACCAGCCTGAACTATCTGAACCTAATTCACCTGTCTGCTTGGTTTCACCATGTACAGGCTGTTCACCCAACACAATCGAAGAGGATGACAAAAGCACCATACCATGTTCAGAAATTAGCACTGACAAGAATGTTGCAACTAACAATGGTGGTTCAAGCCTGAGGTCAGATTTGGAACCATCCTTTCTGAGTTCTGAACAAGAGTTTGTTTCCAAAGATGTGCAATCTAGCAAGCATGAGCAGAGCAACATTGCATTCCAAAGCGGTGAAGATAAGTTCACTGTCCAGGAGCTGCTTTCATCGGTACCAGAAGTTGCTCCTCCTGTTTCATCAGCACCAGAAGTTGCTCATTCTATTCCAGCCACAAAAGGCACACTATTGGACACACCCATTTCTCTTCAGTCATGGAAGAGACATGTAGTTTCTCATTTAAACCCTCCAGTTGATGATGTTATTATACAGACTATAAGACACAGCACTTTCTGTGTCAGTGATGAGCAGCCAACACAAGAAAGTGTTCAAAGAGAAGCTCAGACCGCTGATGTGATCAAACCACTGGATGTGGTACCAGAAGAGGCTGATGCAAGGATCAGCTCATCAAACACCCTGCCTCCAGCACGGTCCTCATCAGTTATTGCTACATCACATGTCCCAGAAGCCAATGTTGCTACTAAGGCACTAGCTGCCTCGGACAATGTAAAATTATCTGCTGCCTCATCAGGGACCAGCAACGGAATGAAGGAAGAGGCATCCCCTACTAAGGAAGCACTTGATGTTACATCGTTTCGGCAACGTGCTGAGGCTCTCGAAGGGCTTCTGGAGCTTTCCGCGGATCTGCTGGAGAATCAAAGGCTGGAGGAGCTAGCAATTGTTCTCAAGCCGTTTGGGAAGAATAAGGTGTCCCCACGAGAAACCGCTATCTGGCTGGCCAGAAGTTTCAAAGGGATGATGAGTGACGAAGCAGGTCGCACGTCGCTATGAGCACCATTTTTTTGTCTGTTTGTTTGTGTGGTTTCACTTGTGCTCGGAGTAAATCGGTGCCGCTTGATTTGGTAATAGCAGTGCTCTGAGTTACTCAAAGTTGATTGCATTGACAACAGCTTGTGGAGTTGTGTTTTCTTTCTTTTTTTATTTTTATTTTTGAGAAGACAGCTTGTGGTCTCTGTTGCCACTTTTTTCCTTTTCTGATTGCTCCATTCTTTTTGGCGTATGTTGTACATAGCCAAGAACTTAGAACTGTAAACAGCAAAAAGCTTGTCTCCGGTGTGATTCAAAAAGAAAATACTATTAAGCTAAATGAACCTTGAATTCTTCTGATAAAATGACCTCAGCTTGCCAACTGCTATGTTCGACCGTCCAGCAGAGGTTAGTTATCATCTAGCAACTAGATTTCTAGCAAACTATTCTATTCGAGTCGTTCTGTAAACGAAAGGCAGAATGCAACCTCATCGATCTGACATGGTTATCTTTTGTGCTCATCCTCTATGGTTAATTTTGTGCTCATCCTCTTTGATGTTCAATACTAAAGTTGAGTGCTTGACAAGATTTAAAACTGTGCAGTTAAAACTTTTTTTTTTTTGCTGCAGAGTAGCTCAGAGTTCAGACCACACCGGGTCACCATGAAAAGACCCAAAGAAATTCTGTTTTGATTTGATCATCAGCACGTCGCAATAAACTTTTATTTTTTTATTTGTAATATATACAAGGACAGCAAACGTGATAATCAGCAGCGCCCTTTGCAGCGTGCATGCGTTATGCACATGCACGGGTACGTACTGTAGCTTTTGGTGCATGCCGGCTGGCTGCTTGACACCCGCACTTACGTTACCTACTCATCATTAAAAAAACGCTTCTCTCTTTTAAATTTTATTAAATTTTAACTAGTTTTATAAAAAAATAGCAGCAATTTTTCTCAAATATATTTATTATAAAACTATATTGTACTATAAATTCAATAATTATAATTTTTGAAAAGCAAAATATACTGATGACTGATGAGTACACAGCACGTACGCAGTATGCATATACGGATACAGTGTCCTGTTCTTCTTAGAATTACTCCGTATTGGCCAGACTGCCGGCTGGTAGCCGCTGTCCTCGGGCCTGAGTTTGGTCCAACTCGAGCCAGGCTTTCGTGCTGCTAGCCTGCTACCCATTTTTACCGTGCACTCTTTGGTCGGAGAAAGTTACCTCTGAAATTTTATAAAATTTTATCTGGCCGGACAAGCTAGAAGATAATCCGAAGAAAAAAGAGATAACTAGAGATGAAAATATAATAAGAAGGAAAAAGGCCAAAGTTTAAGCTTAGCTCACAAACAAAAAACTTGTTAGGTACTTTTCAGGGACGTGGCTTCAACTTTGACCATTGTTGCAGCAAAATGATGACCATAAGGATTGATTAATCACGACTACCGAAAACTTTTACCGAGGCGGGCATCACAACCGCCTCGGCGGAAAAGTCACGGTGATTTAACAAGGCGGTTGAAATGCCCGCCTTGGTAAATCAAATTAAAAAAAGAAAGAAAAAAGAAAAAAGCCGCAGCCCAACTGGGCCTCCCTCCGCCGCCCCTATACACTCCCCGCCGCGGCCCCTACGCTCCCCGCCACCTGATCCGCAGCCGGATCCAGCCTCCACGCGCTCCCCGCCGCCCGATCCGCTGCCGGGGAAGCCAGATCCAGCCTCCACGTGCTCCCCGCCGCTTGATCCGCCGCTGGGGAAGCCGAATTCGCGGAGCTAGGGGAGGGAGAGGGAGGTCGTGCCGCCGGATCTGCTCCGCTCGCTGGAGGGAGAGGGAGGCCGCGCCGCCGGATCTGCTCCGGTGAGGGACCGATCCTCCCTGGATCTGAGAGAGAGAGAGAGGATGAGGGCATACCTCTTCGGATCCACACCGCCGGCCAGTGAAGGAGCAGAGGCACGCCGGCCCTCTGCGTGGGGGAGGAGCTAAGGGCACCATGGGGAGAGAGAGGGACGACCGACGCCGCTGTGGGAAGAGAGAGGGAGAGAGTGGAGGGAGGGAGGGAGAGGGAGAGAGTGGAGGGAGGGGGCGGTGGGATGAGCAGAGGCGTCAGGCTGAGGGGGGCTTCGGGGCTGGGAGAGGCGTCGGGTTGAGGGACAGAGAGACGGCTGAGTGAAGGAAACCCTAGCTCCCCTCTGTATATATATAAACCCATTGGATATGGACTTTTTCTGGGCCTCGAGAATATTAACCGAGGTGGGCTTATAAGTGGCCCGCGCCTCCGAAAATGGTGGTATTTTTGGAGACTCACCTCCGTAAATCGATTTTACGAGGCGGTTAATTGTAACCGCCTCGGTTTATAAAAAGCGTCCGCCTCGATTAATGCCAGGCATTAAAGGCGGTTGAAATTTCTGCCCGCCTCCAAGCCCCTATGCTAAACGCCTCGCAAAATCTTTTTTTTAGTAGTGAATTTTAGCCTTCTAATTTCTAGAAATTATAGCAACCCAGTTCTTTGTTTCCATGGATGTTCTGTTAGGTTTTGTACTGATCAATAATATTGAATGTTTCTTATTTTTCTATTGAGTTGTATTTTGTTGGACTGATGCTTCTCCAGAGAGGTCTGGAGCAAGATTATAGCCTATGGCTTCTGTCAAACTAGGCCTTCATGCCTTCAACGAGCGCTTAGATTATAGCGCTATACCTTTTGTCAGACAAAGGGCCTGTTTGATCCCAGCTGCTAAAAATTAGCACTATGTTTGAATGCAAATTAGAAGGATCAAACATAACTAATTGTTGCATAAACGATGACTAATTGGCAAGACGAATCTATTAATCTTAATTAGACCATGATTAGCCCATATGGTGCTACAATAAACATGGGCTAATCGTAGACTAATTAGGATTAATAGATTTGTTTCGCCAATTAGTCACGTAATTATTTTTGAAATTAGTTCATATTTAGTCCTTCTAATTAGTATCCAAACATAGTGCTAATTTTTAGCAGATGGGTTCCAAACAGGCCCTAAACATCCACCTTGTTGGCTTTCTCCGTGAACCACCATCAGCGGATATTTTGCGCAGACATGGAGACTAGAGCACCCAACCACCATGTCACATTGAGCTAAGCCTCAAGGTCATGTTCGTTTCTTCCCCAAATTAAACCATGAGGATTGGAGGGGATTAAGAGAGATTTTGACTTATAGGGGATTAAACTCCTTTCATCCCCTCTAACCCCCTTCGTTTGGGATGAAACGAACAAGACCTAAGCGTGCGTCATGGCCCAAGAGAGACTCCACCATAATGGTAAAGCAGCCTGAGACTATAGTGGGGACAAAAAAAAGTTGCGGAGTGGATGGTGGTGAGGATGGAAGAAAGAAAATATGTGTCCGGTGTGTATTGGGAGTCTAACAGCTTGGATTGGATCTCAACTCAATTCTATCTACTCCCTTCTTCCTATAACAAGTGCACTTCTAACATTCAAAATTTATCCAAAAATAAATACACATCTAGTTATGGGACAATCTAACTCTAGTAGCCTTTCTCTGCTTTCTCTATTCCCAAAGTCTAGTTGTTAGAATACAGTAACCCTAGTTACATGCAATAACTCTAAAAAGTACAATTGATCGTTACTCTCATATAACCATACTTGATCCTTAGGACCCACTGACTATTGCCTTATATAAGAATATAATGTCATAGAACTGTCTGGCCTAATCCCCTTGACCACTCCTAATTATTGCTCCGTACAAGCAAGTAGGATTTGAGTCCCCTACAAGGCCTTCATACACATACAAGTAGGAGTATTTCTAGGAGGATTCTACACTCAAACCATAATAGATTTAGAAGTCCTAATAGCACCTCTCTTGAGTCTAAGTCCAAATAGAATTTGAATCACTAACTCACCGTACAACAATAATAACAACTGATAGAGATATAGGGACTGTTCAGCTGCATTATAAACAATTGCTGTTGCAACCACCCACTATTCACTTAAACAGTCATTTAGCCCATTTACCCACCGTTCAACGCTATATGATGGTACACCGTTTCCATTTAATCAACTATTTGTTCTATTTAACTGAACGTTTGCCCGTTTAAGTGATTGTTTATCTTGAATAATGGCTAAACGATAAGTGACTGACTATTTACTACCTAGGATAATACTGCCTGATGTGCTGCTACAGTGCCTGCTAAGGAGACTTGCAGTGGCAAGTGCAGCTGCATTATCTACAACGAATGGATCTATATAAGTTATTGCTCTACTAGTATCATTGATCTTTTTAACAAATCTTAAAGGGATTACTTACTTGAGGACTGAGTGAGTACATATATATATTCCGAGGCCAATGGTTAAGGTTGTATGCAGTGGGCCTAGCCTTAAAGCTTGTTTGGATACCACCAACTAAACTTTAGTCATCTAAACTTTAGGCCAAAACATTCAAACATGTGAACTAAAACAACATGTTCGCTGGTTGGTTTCTGGGCTGATAAGCCCGGCTGGTGCTGGTTTGTTGTAAGAGGAAAACACTGTTGGCTGGTTAGATAAACCCTGGCTAAAACCAATAAGCGAACAGGTTGAAAGTAAGCTAAACTTTAGTTCTCGACTCAACTAGCCATTAGTCTATAGTTGGCAAGAGTGAACTAATGTGAACAAAAAGGTGGCTATGAGTGTATGCATAGAGAATCATTTTTAGTCCACGTATCAAACACACTAGACTAAAAGTGTTTTATCTATTTAGTTTTAGATGATCAAGCATGGCCTTATAGAAAGAAAAGAAAAACGAGATAAAGGTGCACGTTGTCGCTAGGACAGCTCTGCTATGCTAGGATAAGAAAAAGCTGAAACCCAAGTTTATTTCCTTGGTTCTGTCCCTCTCGCATTATAAAATATCCTTCACACCACAGTTAAGGTCGTCTTTAAATCCAGAGTCTAAAGTCTTAGGATGTCACATCGAATGTCATGTGAGGTGTCGTATAAAATGTTTAAATACTAATAAAAAAATAAATTACAGAATCCGTCAGTAATTCGCGAGACGAATTTATTAAACCTAATTAATCCGTCATTAACACACGTGTTACTGTAGCACCACATTGTCAAATCATGAACTAATTAGGCTTAAAAAATTCTTCATACAAATTAGTGGCAAACTATATAATTAGTTATTTTTAGTATATATTTAATACTTTATTCATGTGTCCTAACGTTGGATGATATATGAAATAAACTTAAGGAGTGGACCTAAACAAGGCCTGACTGAACTTCATGGTTCATGGATGCATCCACCGACGATGGGTCGTATCAGACGAACGATGGATGGACACACTACCTCCTGCACCCGCTGCAACTCGCCCCGAACCGTCGGTTCGCTTTCACTGCACCGCCATGATTCCCAAGCTACCTCTAGCTAGCCTACGCGCCTAGTACAAGCAACATCTCTCACTGTTCACCACGATCTTGGCACCACCCTCACTCCAGCTCCATAGGCCTCTTGGCTCCACCATTTAAGCCGGCCGCTCCCTCACAAGTCACAACTCACAAACAAGGCGCGCCAAGCCAAGCGGGGCCTGAGGCCAGTTCCAACGAGTCAGATCGACTGATCGAGTGATCTTGCTTGCATTGCGAGCGTGCGCGCTAGGCGCTAGCAGAGCAAGGTACTAGCCTAGGCGCCACCATGTCGCTGGCAGGTGGTGGTTGGAGTCGGCGGGGTGGCGGCGGCAGCAGGTTCGAGTTGCCGCCGCAGCAGCCTCCCGTGGTGGTGGACGTCGGCTGCAACTGCCGCGCGCCAAGGCTGCTCAGCTCCCTCATCTCCTCGCTCAAGTCCCACGCGCGCGGCGGTGTCGGCAAGCCCAAGTCGTCTACGCACGCCTCCTCGTCGTCTTTCTGGTCGTCCTCGGCCACCACGGGCTTCATCACGTCGTCCACCTCCATCGCCACCGCCGCCACGACGACCTTCTCATCGCTGGACCACCACCACCCGTCGTGGGGCCTAGCGACGTACGCCGCAAACGCCAACGCCAACGCCGTCTACGAGGTCGACGTCGACGACGCCGAACACGCAACTCGTCAGAGGCGGCGTCGGCGGCGGCGCCGGCAGCGGAGGAGGAGCACGTGCGGGAGGGCGGTGGCGCCTGCTGCAGCGCTGGGGAAGGAGACGGCGGTGGCGGTGGAGGTGGAGTCCGCGGCGCCGTACGAGGACTTCCGCGAGTCGATGGTGGAGATGGTGACGGAGAAGGAGATGTACGCGTGGGAGGACCTGAACGCGTTGCTGCAGCAGTTTCTGGCACTCAACTCGCCGCGCCACCACCCGCTCATCCTCACCGCCTTCGCCGACCTCTGGGCACCCCGCGGAGGACCCTTCTGCCCTCCGTCCCCGTGCCTCTGAACCTCTCGCCAATGTCCGTCGACGTCGCCTCGTAGGCCTGCAACCGCAAAGCTAGTCCGCGGGCGATATTGATATGTTGCATTGTAACGCGTACGCACTGGTTATAATAAGCCTCTAATAATCTACTAGTAGCAAGGGCGAATGGCAAGCGTGCATGAGATGTGATGATGCGCACGTACTCGTTCTTAGTAAAATGTAAATCACTTCTCTTGTCTAATCCAAGGTGGTGCAGTAGTGGCATTAGGGCCTGATGCAGATATTTGTGCAACGAATTTATAGGAGTAGTAACTTTTTTTTTCTAGAGTAACTTTGTAATCTCACGACGTTGAGACCGGGATATTTTTCATTTGCTTGATAAAATAAACTTTCCTTTATCTAAAAAAAGTTCATTAGCGGTTCTTAAATATATATGTTTGGCTGGGTTATCTAGGTTCCTAAGCTAACTTGTTTGGATGGGTTATCTAGGTTCCTCCACATAAGTGGCTAGTTAGCGAGCAAGTCATCACTTGGAGACTCGCTACATCATGGGCATAGCTTTTCGGCAAGCAACCGAACCATGGATAGATCTTGTGTTCATATCTTGGCCTCAGTGATTTGCTACTACTCACACTTGTATTTACATTCATATCTATTGCTTGTGTGTGATAGTTGTTTGAGTAGCTCACTAAAGTAGTTTTAGTTGTTTAGTTAAGTAGGTAGTTTTAGTTACTTTGCTAGTTTTGCTCTCTGGTGTAACTAGTAACTCTTGTGTGGTGTTGTGATATAGACTAGAAATCAATTGCTACTAGAATTGAGTAGGGGCTTGCTTGAGTGAATAGAGCTAGAGTTAGTAGTGGCTATTAGGATCATTTGTTGTTCTAATGAAGTTTGCTTTAGTCTTGTGTTTTTGTAGAGAATTTTTATAGGCTATTCACCCCCTCTTTTTAGCCAACTAGATCCTTTTAGCCACACGCCCACGACATTGTAGGTATGTGCACCATTTATACTATATTTTGGTGCCAAGCTTAGAAAATCATAGAACATGATTTCAGAAAACATATGAAACTAGTTTCATATTTTTGAGCTAAAACATTTTTTTGGAATGTTCTAAGATTAAATTAGTTTTTAAGTATTTTTAAATAAACATTTTTCTTGAAAAAATAATTTAATGCAAATTTTTGTACAATATTTTGATAAAGTCTAATTGACTCTTACTATCACCAAATTTCAATTTAAGGTTTTATGTAGCATCACGTCACCCAAAGCCACTTTCAAACAGTAAAAGGAGGTAAATCGAATGGTTTTAAAAGTTAGAGAGTTGAAAATCTAATTTTTCAATTGAGAGAGAAAAATTAGACTTTTGCGATAGTTAAGGGGGTCAGATTAGCTTTTTCCAAAGTATAGCTAGAGATGCAGGTCAACTCTTCCTTCACTAGCAATCCGCTCAGGCATCTCGCCAACTATGGGCCTGTTTGAATCCTCTCCTTTAAACTTTAGACCTCTAATCTTTAGAGTTAAAGCTCCAAACAGGTGGTTTAACATTAGTTCTAAACTTTAGCCCACCTCACATTAGAGCTTTAGACATCAAAAGTGATCTAAAGTTTTTAAAGCTCTAAACTCTAGAGGAGGTGATCCTATCGTGGTGTACTGCGGTGATGGGCCTCAGCGAGTCCATGGACTTCGCCAATGCTGTTGGGCTCAATGTATTGTCGTTCCTTGACCGCAATGCGCTACACATCGTGCTCCTCGCTAGCGGCTACCGGCGCATGCGAGCTGCGCGTGAGTTGGGTGACGGCCTAGCCTGCCTAACGCTCACGTGGGCTGCATCACTCCTCTTGTTTCTTGTGACGTGGGCCGTGTTTCACTTCTTTTAAATGCGAATTTTTTATTGAACTGTCTTTTTTCAATTTCTTTTGCACTATCGTACTCGCTACAACAGATCTACAAAACTAGACCCTTTTTTTACGCAAAGTAAAACTCGCGACTGGTCGCGCTCCAACGCGTCTGCGCGACACCAGGCCGCAATGGGCCAGCCCAGTAGCCCCTGCACCTTATCTCCTCCCGTGCGTACCCCGTCGTCTCTCTCGATCTTCTCTCTCGACGCCGACGTCGCTCCCTGCTGCTCCTCCCATGGCGATCTCCCCTGCTCCCAGCTTCTCCACGTGTAGCACTGGCGCCCCCTCCTCTTCCTCCCCGCGTAGCGCGCCCTCGCACTAGGCAGGCTGTCGTGCCCTAGCCAGATCTGCTGGCCATGCTGGCCGCCGCCGCCCATGGCCGGGGATGGATGGGCGCACCGCCGGGCTGCCGACCAGGCCGCAGCTGCGCGCCACACGGCCGCTGCCGCTAAGACCCTCCCTCTCCCACCGACAACATGCTTGTCCGCAAGTGTACTTTCCCTTTCATTTTTTTTTTTTGTCTAATTTAGTTTCTATTTTTATTTGTCAATTTCAGTGAAATTTTACGGTTATCAATTTTAGTTTATTCTTTTATTTTCAGTGTTTTTGATATTTTTCATTTTTGTTTGCTTTGGTTTTCATTTTCTATTTATAAGTTTCAGTTTTATTTTTTGTTGTCAATTTCATTTTTTTATAATTTTGATATTTTTTCATTTTCATTTTTGTCTACTTGAGTTTTATTTTCTATTTATTAATTTCAGTTTTATTTTTTGGTTGTCAATTTCAATTTTTTCAGATTTCAGTTTTAGTGATATTTTTCTTCTTTTTTCAAATTGGTGTGTTCTCATTTATGTCATGAAATAAAATTTAAATCGGCACAGGCAGGCAGCATGCTTGACTGCAGGTCAGGGCTGCTGCATGTGCAGTGGCTGCTGTGTGTGTGAATTGAATTGACTCGTTCGGCTTTTTTTTAAGGGGTTTCGCAATTAGCCCTGTTCTATGGTTCGATTGAAAAAATTTTTTCAAACCAGATGAATATTATTTTTTCAGCTCATTCAAGTTTCAGGAAGCCGAACGGGAAATATTGATTTTGCAATTATAGTAAGTCGATAAGTTCTTCCATAGCTTGGTAATACCCTCTATATAACTTGTGCTTGTATCAAGTATGCCAACAATGACAATTTTATTTTATTTTCCACCACGGCTGATGTTTAGCACAGGATTTTATCTTGGGGTCACTCAAGGATTATGATCAAGGGCCGCATCGGGCGTACTTATTAGATGGAGTTTGTCCTACTAGGTGATGTGAGATTGCTACCTTTTTAAAAATTTTAAACATGGGTTTTGTATACTCATACATACTGATTGGGGTTGTAGCATCGACACTTATTAGGGATCGTAGCATCTATGATAATTAGAATTGTCGCAGACGTAGTGCATTCATTCAATTTTTGGATCTTTTTTTTTTAATGTGTTCGAATGAAACTGCATTATCCTTGCAAAACTAATATTTTTCTGCACAACAAATGATTGAATGGTCCTATGTCAAATGTTTTTATGTAATTTTTGAAACTTATTTTAGGGGTGAAATTTATGTAATTGCATATACTAGGAAATCCATTTAAACTAGAATCCCTCTATTCCAAATTATAAGATATTTTGGTTTTTTTAAACACATAACTTTTGCTATACACCTAGATATATATACACTATGTTTTTTTATAAAAAAATATATACACTATGTATCTAGATACATAATAAAAATAATGTATCTAAAAAAGCTAATACGTCTTATGATTTGAGATTTGGGATGAAGGGAGTAAACATTAGTAAATCATTCCAAAAATTTCTGAAAACTCCTAAACAACAACATATATGACATCTATTACATGTGAAGAAAGTTTTATGGTACAAATACGATAACAAAGATCTTAGAATAAAATTACATATACGATAACAAAGACCTTTTTAGAAAGATGCACACTCTTTTCCCGACAAAGCCAATGTTAGGTGGGATATGCAAGTGGTGGGAGGTACAAGTGGCAGGTGAAAGCCCTACGGTAATTGAGTGATAACTAGTGAGATGATGCTAGTTGTGATTGAGCTAAGGTCCATCTTCACTGTTGGCTTGAAAGGATCCCTAATGATTGGCCTCGTTCGGCTGATACGCACAACAGCGCCTTGTTTAGATGCCATCCAAATTTTAAGTTTTTTCACTCTCTTTTCATCATATTAATTTTTAGCCGTTTACATGGAGTATTAAATGTAGGTAAAAAAAAACTAATTACACATTTTAGTTGAAAATCACGAGATAAATCTTTTGAGCCTAATATACACCTTTTATCAAATAAGATTTTAGTAGGGTTCACGTAGACCCAGGAACCTCGGACGCCTTAAAACAGGAATTTTCGCTGAAAAACCAAACTTTCGCCGTTCGTTCGTAGTTCGAACCGGCGGCAGAGCGAGTTAAGGCAAAAATTTCTTCGTAGTTCGAGCTTCAAGGAACTAGCCTTCAACCCCGTCTGAGCCGTCTCTGGCCCACAGCAAACAACACCGGAAGAACGGACGAGTACGTGCGCGTTACATCATCCGAAGGTCGAGCTATAAATACACGAGGCAATCGTGCCAACACCTCAAAAGAGGAAAACGACACCCGCACCCACTGAAAAATAAACTAAAAACAGTGATAAAAGCTAATTTTTCACGGGAGTGACTACACTACTTTCGGGTGATTTTATTTCATTTAATCAACCAGATTTCCAACCAATCAAAGACGGACACGTCACAACTAAAACTGATATAAAATCTCGAAGATATGAGAGAAAAAACAACCAGAATTTAATCAGTCAAGCACAATAAAAAAAGTGATTGAAAAACTAAAAGTGCCAACAACTAGATTTGAAACAATAAAGTAGACCACACCCTTCTACCGACGTCCACCAGATCTGTTGCATCTCACGTGACACACAAAGAAACAACTTGACTGCCAAGAAAGAAATAACACAAAAACACAAGGATGTAGAAAGAAGCCAAGAAGCCAACATCAGATCACACAAAAACAGACGATGAGGACAAAGGAGAAGGGGAAAGCAAAGGCTAAACCAAAGGAAGAGGAAGAAGATAATC